TATATATACTGTGTTGTTGGCTAAAAACAGATAATAAACACATGATCGTTCGATACGAGCGCAAAGGAATCATATATAATCACATTAGTAATAGGTTAATAACATCTTATTGCCCTACAACCCTGTTCGATGAGGGGTTCCTTGATTATTAGTGTGCTAGGCTCTGATTAAAGATTAATTGGAATATCAATTGTACATAGTTATTCAGGGAGTGTGGAATTGTTTAAATGGCATAATCTATTCTATCGGCAAGAGCTCAAATAATTATAAGCACCATGGAGTGTGTTTAAGTACAGTGAGTTGGATAGCATATTAATATATCTAAAGAATACTTGTGAGTTGGTATCGCAATGGGTATTTCCGTCTATGCCTACATGATACGCCAACTAATATTTATTTCTACGATTAATAGATCACATGTCAGGGTGGCATAGGTAACAATATTTCTCTTGCAAACAAGGTTGCATCGCTTGTTAACACTTTGTTTTTGAAATAAAACATTCGGCTTCTTACATTTAGTGATGGTTGCAAGCATTATGCTTTTTGTACATTTTACTACCTTTGTTTTAGACAATTCACCGGAAACAAAGTTCCAAAGCAACGTCTAGGTAAGGGTTCATTTTAATGTTTATATGCCATGCAATTCTTGTATCTGTGAATCACTGCTCAAACCAATCCACATAACCTATTGACAATGCATGCAAAGCAGGGGTTATCTAAGCATGGCTGGCCGATAGTGGTTTTGCCGCTTGACTGACTATATGGAAACCGCTTCTCCAAACTACCTTTAGCAAATAAAGACTATATGCCTATTACTTCGCAGCTGTAGCAACCCATCACAATAGGTTGTTGCTACAAAATATATTGATAGAGTAGGTGTTGTACTTAAAAAGCACAAATTAAAGTTTGGTCAGTGTCGAGGAAAAAGTTGTGTTCCTTAAAGGCTGCTGATCACAGTATGAACTAAATCTACTCACTGCGGCATACGACGGTCGTAGATCCGTTGAACGACGAAACCACCTTTTATGCCTGTGAGCGCTAGACGACGCACGTCTGCTAATTTTAGGTGAGAATTTAAGCGGTTGTGCGCATAGTGACGTTGCGTTCCCCATATAATTTAGTGCCCGTCTTTAGTCGTTTATTGAAGACATCTTATCAAATTATATTTTTAACATCAAGCATGATAAAAATATACTACGAAGCTGTTTACGGGACATGGTGATTTTTTTTTATTTTCCTAACCCGTACGTATGCCTTATTAAGTATTACGTACGCCTTAGTAAGGCGTACGTACGCCTTATTAAGGCCAATCAAAATACGACTAACAATGAAGTTTGGCTTAGCTGCAAGGCCCTCAGCCAATCACAAACTACCTTCTATTCCGTTTGTCCAATGTAAGTAGTAAACAACACACGTCCACTTACAAGTATTGCGTTGGACAGAAGTTTATCAAATGATAAATCTGAGTCGGTTTCAGGCATATTTTTGTGATACATGTTGTGAGAACATAGAGTATGGTTGTGTCATTAAGCGTAAACAGCTTAAAGGAATTTAAGGATGTGCAACTCTGTGGAAAACAACTAATACGAGTCCTGAGTAAGGCCTATGGCTATGAGGTTTCTGTCGAAGCTGGTGAATAGCCCACATATAGGCCTATATAAAGAGGCTCTCGGGGATAGTGGTGCAAGTAGTATATTTCAAAATTGCACCGAATCTGTTTAAAGGTACGTGTGTTGTTACATATAACGTTAAAAATGGTATGGTATGTTTTATTTCATTGAGAAGCACTAAGCGTCTCTCTATCACACCACACACACACACACAGACAGGAAGGCCAGTGCCATTTTTTCAAACTGGGGTACTATCGACAGCAAAATAACCACATTATTGTGAATCAAATATGATGATGTTATATTATAGTAAACATAATAAGACAATAATTTTGGCAATGAATTGACCCTGCATAAACAACTGATAAATGAAGACAACTCAAGGATAGCCATGCACAATTATATAGCAACTATTCAATACTAACTACCAAGAACAATGGTTTACTACACAAATTGAATCAATTCAGTTTTTGGAGGAAGGGGATGTGCCCTACAGTGACTGTGCTTAGACTAATTAATTGAGGCATAATTTGATTTTAATGTCTTCATGAAAGAATATAACAAAATTATTATAATAATACTAGTACAGTATGCTTTATTTACATATGAATCCTTCACACATCATCATAACAAAAAATATAGTATTAATGGGTATCAAAACTGACTTAAGCAATTAATATTTATCAACACTTAGATGTCCAATTAAACATCACCACCTGCATTTAATATTGTATTATACTGATACTACTTGTTAAATTTTTTTTGGAAAACATTTAACAAGTTTTTAAAAGGAAACAATTAAAATGCACATTTGATCATAAAACAATTACAGTAACCTCTCTTTTGAATTAGTTTGTTTAATTGATTTTCACAGACCACAGACTCAAGTGAATGGAAGTTTATGAACCACAGCCAAAGCAAATTTTGCTTCATTCTGCATCAGCTGAATTCAAGAATTAAGAAGTGCTTCCTGGTCGAAGACATGTTCTCCCATGTAACAATAATATATTATGTACTTTTAATAGAGAAATAACCATTGAGAAATTAGTAAGATGTGGAAACATTGAGTGGTGGAATAGACCTTTCCGAAGTGTCAATCAAACTTAACAACTGACTAATCAGAACAACGCTAGGAATACGCGCGCGTCTCACAAACACACGTGTTGTCCCACAAACGCACGTGTTTGCGTATGTTTTAGCATTGTCGTCTTGTGGGACCTTAGCAACAAAATCCAATGGGCGGGGCTTAGCGGAAAGGTCCATTAGTTGAGGCTGCTACTGCAAATCAGGATGAAGCCTTGTTACTACATGAGGGATATACCGTAAGTATCTGGTGGCAGTTCAGGCCATATTATAGGTACGAATCAATTGAAAGTACTGTAGTCTTATCTGATTGGAACTGTATACTGTTTGATGAATGTTGTTATCTATTTGATATAACATCATACCATACACTGTGTTGTATATTACCATATATTTTTTTAATTTTTCCTTGTATGAACAGTTATCAACAACACATTTATTTTCTTTATAAAAATTTGCATTGACTTTTTGAATGGCATTGTATGATATTTTACAATGCAATATGAAAAGAAGAAAATAACGGAACAGCACTTGCTGATAAATGATATTGAATACAGCAGAACTGTCATTATTTATAGTTTCTTTTAAACTGTTTATACTGGATAGCTACATTGATAATATTATATAATTGTATTATTTAACACATGTTCATAAGTGGATTATGATTAAACTCTATATTCAGCTACAGTGTGCTACAGTGTTTCAATAATATTCACATAAAAGTATTCAGACTTTTGTCATAAACTTCTTCCAACTTCGTGGTTACTTTTGTGTATTTAAATTTATATACCTAGTGAATGATCAGAGAGATAATAAAATGCTGATGGGATGCTACTGACTGAACTGACCTATATTAAATATTTATATGTTTACCTCCTTATTGGAATCATCAATCACTTTTATTCATTCATTCAGTCCATATTATCAAGGTCTTCAAGCAGCTAAACAAAATTCAACTGGCATGGCAAGAAATACTGATCATTGCATGCAAATAAAAACATTTGAAATTTTACATCAGCCTTAATGTGTTCAGTATTTTTTGAAGTAATTTAAAAATTTAAAAAAATAGAATCGAAATATTATATTATATATTTCTGTCTTTCATTCAAAGTCGATAAACATACATTTTGCCTTTCTTACTATGCATACATGTAGACCTAGGTAAATAACACAATACACATTCAGTAAAGCACGGTCGCCTTTGGCTTACAAAAAACTACGGTATGATAGTCGAGGGAAGACGGGAAATGCGATTTACTACCTCTACAATCTTACTATTACAGTATTACCAATGTATTTTATTTAAAGGCTTGTAGGCCTATACTTATATCATATTGAAATATTCCACTAAAACCGAAGAGCTTTCGTCCAAATTGCTACAAATTGTCACTTTCCTCGCGATATTGTTTATATTAGTTACCGAGTTTACAAGAACACTTGTGATTGGCTAATAGCGTCACATCAATGCTTAATAGGTATGGTAAGTGTGCTATGATTGGGTACTGCTTTCGTGAACGCCATTATTTTTTCGAAGATAAATTCTGATTTTTGGTTACAGTTTCACCAAATTTACGATTGCCGACAATTATCTTATGTTTCAATAAAACATTTTTGTGCGAATGCCAAGTAGCCTGGATTGGTGGGTCACAGATTTCGTAAACTAAGCCGATTTTGGAGCCTCAACCCACGGTCTAATAAAGCGTACGTACGCCTTAGTAAGGCGTACATACGCCTTATTAAGGCATACGCCTGGTGTAACCTTAATAAGGCGTTCGTACGGGTTAGGAAAATAAAATAAAAATTCATCATGTCTCTTAAACAGCTTCGTAATATACGGATACATACATCCGTATGAAAGTTTGCTTCTAAAATACGTCTGAAATACAAAACTTACATAAAGAAAGTCATGGTTGTGATCGAAAAACGGAAACAATGTTGAAAGATTAATTATCCCAGAACTTCCATCATCATTGGTAGGTACAGCATTGTCACCTTCCGCCTCCCCGAAGGGAAACATAATATCTATGAAGATAAATTTATTTATTTCAACAAAAAAAATAGTGTATACAATGAATACCGTAAGTAATAATATATAAAGGGCATGTCAGTGAGTATAACCTGCCTTCGAATATTTAATAGTCGACTGATTGGTTAACTGATCTATTTTTGTTTCTTCAAATTTGAAAAGATTGGATGATTACTGTATATACCGTATCCATCGCGAAATAAATATTCATTATTTGACTGAGTAGTTGACTGGTTAGTTGATTGAACGATTTTTCGATTGACTGGGCCAGTTGATTAATTAATTTATTTATTAATTTGCTAGTTGTAATGATTATTATTATTTAACTTATTATTTTTCATTGTGAATAATAAAAAAATTTAGTGTTGTGTAGAAAGCTATGAAAATATATTGAAAAGAAAATACGAAAAAAAGAACAGATAAAAAATAAAAGAAAATAATAATAATAAAAAATAGAATACAATAGTGGATGTCTAAACGCATATTGGGTAGAACAACTTTGAATCTGTCTCTTATACACATCTAGATGTGTATAAGAGACAGATGTATATGTATCTATGTTAAAAAAAAGAAAGAGAGAGAAGGGGGGGGAGCAAAAGAAGGAGAGCAAGAGAAAAGAATATTTACTATAAAAATTCTTAAAGTATAACATGTTATACCATCCGGTTTTTATTTAATTTTAGATCATCTTATTCTACCAATTTTTAATGAAATAACCTGCGATACCTTACCATAAATGCGTGCCATGCCGCATGTGCTACCATGCATATAGGCCTACAATGTCAAATCTAACACTTGAGCCATGAACTTAATAGTTTAGCCAGACCTTTACAACACGATACGAAATACAGTAAATGTTCGGGTTTTTCTTTAGAACCGAGACATCAGGTATATACGGTAGTATTTTAGGGATGGAAAACTGATGCATGAATAAAACTTACTTGAATTATTGAGTAGTAATTTCTAACTGTACTTACCTTCACTCACACACGGTCTATATAAACAGAACAATAAAATAGCAATAATATGTCCTTTCATTATTGTTGGTATTTTTGCTATGCTGTTCCACTTTTTGGATTGTATGCGTTCTCATTTAAGCATATGACAATAATGGCAATAATTTTATAGGGACGGTTAATGATTTACATGATTATGTATTTAATGATAAGGGTGTCTATTTCTATTTTAAACTTCAACGCGTCACAAAATGAGACCCCCTAAATAAAGAATATGGTAAACAAAGAAAAAAGAACACGTTGGAAGAGTGAATTTAAACTTTTCAGTGAGTAACAATTAATCATATAATAATTTGAGTAAACTCCAACAGTTTGTGTCGATTAACCGTCCAGACGCAAACACAAATCTGGAGAAATATATCCTAGCACAATTCTTTAAGTGTTAAATGTTAAGTATTTAATTATGCTTCAGAATATTAAGCTGCTATGCAAAGCAATCCAGTATTTGGCAACTGGGATTCCCAGACTGATTATGTAAACATTTATGACATCCCTAGGACGGATGCAGAAGAGGTGATGGTCGGAAGCGACCTCTCCCCACTGAGATTTTAGAGTGTCTTGTAGCAGCTAAAAAACCTTTTGAGAATAATTTTCAGGCTAATTTAATACATTTTTTGTATTAAAGTCCCTCAAAGTGGGAGAGTAACAAAATACAATGACGGACACGTCATTTAAACTTATATAATTTAATGTGCTTTTTACTTTTTGGACATTCTTCTTCTAATATCTGGACCAACCCCAGTACTCACAACCTCGCAAAAGGCCGCTGAAATATCTGTGCAAACAGTGTGGCCGCCATAAGGCACTGGAAACAGTTTTTGTTTGCTATTGGTTAACCATCACTAGGGTAGAACAACTTTGAATCAACCACTGATGAATTTATGAATTTGGTGCCTATACGTAGGCCTAAGATTCTAACTTTAATTGTTAGATGTAGGAGGGCGGTATACAATTCCCCAAGGAGAGTGTTTAATATACTTTCTCTGCAGAAATATTAATATATTTCTTGACTTTGCCTGAGATATTTTTCGAGAAGAAAAAGAAGTATTCTCTACCAAAGAAATCCAAGGAAAACGATTTTTGTAGTATATTGATTTCTTTTACCTAAATTTTACCCATTTGAAGCCCGCACCCAATGGCCATGTGGCTTTGGAAGCAGGAGCTCAGAACTGGGTGAAACCAGTTTTCATTAAGGCTGACGATGTCAACATAAAAGGAGAGGCGTATGTTGAACCACATGATATATACAAAGCGTAAGTAAAGTCTGTGCAAAGTCAACACATTAATGGCATTCAACGCATTAAAAACTTGTGGAGAATATATATAGATTCGCAACAAGATAGGGTGAATCTGTTAACACAATGAGTAAACATCCGAGGTAGAAATGTCCAAGTACATGATAAAAATCCTTATCTACCATATGATGTAGACTCAACACGTCTACCGCTATCAGTTGCTGATGAAGAAATTAAGAAAACGCTCTTGCGTTTTAACTTTAAAATTACAGGAAGTATACAGCGGTTGAAACTAAGAGTAGATGGTCAATTAACAAGTTGTATGAATGGAGACCGGGTACTCTATGCTGAAACCCTTAATACCCCTTAACAATTTCAAAACCAGGTTCTTTCATAATGGTCAGACGGATGAGAGTGAAATGCTCAAAATGCTTAAAGAACGGCCACAACGCTAAAACTTGTAAAACAAGCTTGTCATGCTTGTGGTCTAGAAGGGCACAAAAGAGAGCAATGTAGTGCAGAAAAGCTTTTGCATGATGATTCAGGAGAAAAATTAATCCAAGAAATGTGGAAGCGAGTAATAGAAAAGAAGGGCATAGCCACAGACAGGAAATATGATTCGGGATCCAGTGAGAATAGCGAAGAAAGTAGCGATGATGATTGAAGAACAGGGCAGAAAAAAGGAGAGTCACAAGAAACAAGAAAAGATAACACACTTCATGAAATCACCAGCACCATCTTCTGAATCAACAAGGCAAAGCGAAAGTGTAAGACACGAACGAGTCAAAAGAACAGTCCGAATGAGAACAAATTCCACCAGCATTACCAGGCACTAAAAGACGAAAATCAAGCAAAAGTAAGAAAAATATTTAAAAAATAGTAATTCATTAGTAAAATTTAAAGTCAATTGTGTCAAGTAAAATGCATTATGATGATTGAGAAAAGAGTTATTGTTATATTGCTTTTACACCAACATGAATAAAATAAGTTTTCATTGTGTATCCCTAAAATGTGAGGGGTATACCTAACAAAATTAAACAAAGACAAATGTTTAAGTGGTCAAGATCAAAAAGCAGATATTGTACTGTTGCAAATAACGCATCTTACTCATGAATTAATTAATACATTTAATGCAGTATGGGAGGGTTTTTGCATTTATAGTACTGGTTTTTCAAAAAGTGCATGAGTGTCTATTATATTTAAAAAGGACTTCAGCTTTAAAAACCTTAATGAATATATTGATAAAAATGGAAGATACGCAATTAATAAAAGCAGAAATACAAGGTAAAATATATGTTTTTGTCAATATATATACTCCGAACAATTGTAAATCAAGGAGTACATATTTTAGAGACCTGAGTAATGTTAGTATTGTTAATTTAGACGAAGACAACATTATAATTGGTGGTGATTTTAATTGCATCATGGATACAAATTGTGATTAAAAAAAATAGTGCAGTTAGGAAAGACACATCTGTGTTTACAATTAAACATGTTATGAAGAACTTCAATTTAAAAGATGCTTGGAGGAATAAAAATCCTCATAAAACACAACTTACCTGGCGTAGAAAATGTAGTAAAATGTATAGACGGCTGGATTACTGGTTAATCTCACAAAATCTTATTGATCAAGATGACATTACGTAATGCGATATAAGACCGTCTATCCTAACGGATCACCAGGCAATCTTGTTAAAGATTGGACGAGTTCAAATTATAAGAGGGACAGGATATTGGAAATTAAATAATAGCCTACTGGATAATATTGACTATCAAAAGTCTATTATAAATATTATTCAAAAAACACAGGCTAATGAAACAGACCTTAGTCCCAAATTATTGTGGTAATTAATAAAAGTAAAAATTAAAGAAGTTTAAATTTATTATGGTAAAAAAAATAAATAAAGAAAAAAAAAACGCAATAAAAATTTACAAAAAGATATCAAACGATTGAATGATGCTCTGGTTAATAATGCTAGTAATTTGAATGAAAACTTTGAGACAGAAATCGAAGAAAAAACAACAAAATTAGAAAAAAATATATGAACAAGAAACAAAAGGGGCATACATTCGTTCGAGGATCAAATGGATAGAAGAGGGCGAACGTAGCACTAGGTTTTTTCTTGGTTTAGAAAAAAATAATGGAACAAAAAAAAAAAAACATATAAAAAGAATTAAACAGTCAAATGGCGTAATGTTAACAAAAACACAGGAAATCCTGTGTGAGGAAGTTCACTTCTTTAGACAACTGTATGCAAATAAGGGGATTTCCTATACTGATATCAACAAACACCTGGATCAATCAAATGTAGATATTTTAGAAGAAGAACAATATAGTTTTTGTCAAGGAATTGTTACGTTAGATAAATGTGAAAATGCCTTACGGAAAATGAAATTAAATAAAGCTCCAGGAAGCGATGGCTTGACAGTAGAGTTCTATAAATTATTCTGGAAAGACATTAAAAAAATTGTCTGCAATGCAATAAATGACTGCTATTATAGTGGTGAAATGAGTCATACACAAAAACGCGGAGTAATAAATTTACTATATAAAGGAGATAAACAATTACTAGAAAATTGGTGTCCTATAACACTACTAAATACCGATTTTAAAATGTTAACTCAAATCATGTGTTCCAGGCTGCATAAAACAATTGGAAATTTAATTAATGATGACCAAAAAGGATAAATTAAAGGACGTTTTGCGGGCGAAAACGTTTGCTAATTAACGATATTTTGCATTATACTGCAGAATAGGTAGAAGGTGCTATCACTATCGCTTGATTTTAGAAAAGCTTTTTGATTCTGTCAGTAGAGATTTTATATTTAAAGTTTTAAAAAAAATTAATTTTGAGGAATCATTTTGCAAGTGGGTAAACACAATTTATAACAATACAGAATGTGTCCTTGTCAACAATGGATGGATACTGTCTCTTATACACATCTAGATGTGTATAAGAGACAGCCTATACGTAGGCCTAAGATTCTAACTTTAATTGTTAGATGTAGGAGGGCGGTATACAATTCCCCAAGGAGAGTGTTTAATATACTTTCTCTGCAGAAATATTAATATATTTCTTGACTTTGCCTGAGATATTTTTCGAGAAGAAAAAGAAGTATTCTCTACCAAAGAAATCCAAGGAAAACGATTTTTGTAGTATATTGATTTCTTTTACCTAAATTTTACCCATTTGAAGCCCGCACCCAATGGCCATGTGGCTTTGGAAGCAGGAGCTCAGAACTGGGTGAAACCAGTTTTCATTAAGGCTGACGATGTCAACATAAAAGGAGAGGCGTATGTTGAACCACATGATATATACAAAGCGTAAGTAAAGTCTGTGCAAAGTCAACACATTAATGGCATTCAACGCATTAAAAACTTGTGGAGAATATATATAGATTCGCAACAAGATAGGGTGAATCTGTTAACACAAGGAGTAAA